GCCATGGGGGTACCTGCTCTTGGTACTGCAGGGGACTTGAGCAGTGCTCTTTTGGGGAAGGTGGCAATGTGACAATGTCCACTCACCCCCAACGATGCTGTACACGATCTTCTCGTTTATGGTGTAGTCAGGATCAACGGCATAGATGGGTCCTGGGCTCAGGATCAGTGGCTCCACCTGCAATGAGAAGGGACAGCCTCACATGCTACAAACCAGCACTAAATGAGCAATTGGGGCTCTCTCCCATCCCAGCATGGCTCTGGTGGCTTTGTGAGGGCAGAATGGGGTTTATGGCTGCGACGTGGCTGGCACAGGGCAGAGGGGAGCCAGCCTTGGGAGTGGGGTGCTGCAGGAGCAGGAGCAGCAGTGCTGCTTGGGGCGGGGAATTCCACCTTCCGGGGTGACAAAGGTTCCCCGTCCTGCTGAACCCTCTGCACTGTAACTGGAGACCAGCAGGAGCTCATGGAAGTTACCAGGCAATTCCCACTGGGAACAGCATTAGGGCCCTGTTTGGTGGCTCCTGCTCACCGCCAGCTCGGAGATGTTGACGATCCCGGAGTAGGGGCTGCTGATGCAGACACTGGTGTCGTTGTGGAGGAGGGCACAGGGCAGGAACCAGGGTGCTCTGGTGTCTGCCTGCGTGATCAGGATGGTTATTGTTGCAGTAGCTGTTCTGGTGAGGTCGGGGCTGCCCACAGGCCTGTCCTGTAGATAAAGGCAAAGCACACTCATGAGACATCAGTTTTACTGCCAAAAGAAGGGCCTACCTGCCACAAGCAGGGCCCAGGGTCCTTTAGCCCTTGTCACTCCACTCTGTCTAAGGCTTAGCAATTCATGTGAGATTGGCTAAAGTGGTGGGTTGTCTGCTTCTGCTGACAAAGGTGGGCTGACTGCAAGTCTGTCCCTGTAATTGTGGAGGGTGAAAGGCTGCTCCAAGCCCACCACCCACCCTCCCTCTGCCACCCCAGAGATCTCCCATCCAAACTCACCCTTCAGGTAAAAGACACCGGGCTAACGAGGCATTCTGTTCCTCCCCAGGGACTTACCCTTGCATACAACAGCAACCTCGTTGACTGAAATTTATCATAGTCCAGTGCTTTTTGTAAATAAATTTCAGGGTTGTTAACTCCTTTTATGGCAAAATAACCGTCTGTGCCCTGGCAAGGGAAAAGGAAAAATCCTATAGCAGACTCAGTCACAGACATGTTCCAAATCCTGCTCGTTGCTGTGTTTGTCATCTCAATTGCACCTTTAATCCTGGGGAACTGGCTGGGGGGAAGTGTGGGAATGCTGGATGTATTTAATCTTTGGTACTGCACATTGGAGTTGCCTGGCTTGTCAAAAGGTGTGTTCCTCCTCCTGGTTGAAATCTCTTACCTCATTTATTTCCTACACTCAACAGGTTGTCAACAAGCCTTCATTTTTGGTCTGGACTTTGGAAGAAACTGTAAAGCCAAATTGAAGTAACGTACGTTGCAGTTTATAGCCTTCTGCATTTGCTTTGGCTCTCCTTTAATCTTATGCCTTGTCTACAATTCCTTTGAGTTTCTCAATCCTCTCAATTTACACCATTGTGAATGCAAAGTCTGTTCCCAGAGCTGAAATGCAGAAACTGGTGGTTTCTGTTCCCAGCCCCTAAAACCCCTGGGGTAATGGAGGTAACGGATGTGTGTCAGGCACTGTCTGCTCCCTCCACAATGCTTTTCAAAAGTGCAAACATACATTTGGGGGTTCTCTTGAATTTGCTTTTGTTTTTAGTTTCTAGCCAGCCCTTGCACTCCAGGCTGGCATCAGGGACTGTGTGCACAATCCATTTCCTCTGCTGCTGTTGGCAAACAGGGCAAGGACTCCGTTTCCCATCTGACTCAGTGCAATTCTGAGCTCCCTGAGGTACAAAGGTCTCCTGATATGTTTACAGATCATCCCAACAAGACTTCCCTGAGTTTTATGGCTCTGAATATCCCAGATGAAACTTTAATCTGTACAGTGCAATAAAAGTGTGAGCAGTGAGAGAATTCAATACTTGCAGCATTGATGGCTCTGTTCTGTTAGCCAAATAAATGTTTGGGGTTTGTAAAAGTTGAGAGCTAAATGCAATGACTGCTTGAGAACTGGGGCTCTTCTGAATCCAGCTTCTCCAGAGCTACTGTTTCTGCCCAGAGACGCTCACCTGCACTGTGGTTGTGAGTTCATAGTAGATGATGTCCAGGTCAGCATCAGTAGCGCTTAAATCTTCACGGGCTACAATGGTTGCATTCACTTCTGTATCCTGAAAAAACACGTTGCTGGGGTTATTCACTGTGTGAAATGGGCTGAAGCCCCTCCCTGCTGACCCTTCCTCAGTCCCACAGCACTGTGACCCAGTGCCCTCTTCCATTCCAAAAAACACTCACCTCTGGGACAGACCTGGTGAGATTCGGCTGCGGAAACTGTGGATCGTTGTCGTTCTCGTTGAGAATGGTGACAATGATTTCCAAAGAATCGCTCTGCAGAATGGGTAAAGGGAGAGAATCAGAGCCAGAAAGAGGTTCTTGGGGCTGCTCCTGGTTTGCAGTGACCAGAGGGGATGGTGTAAGGAGCAGAGCTAGGTGGGGGCTGGATGAGGCTGGGAGTGTAGTGTGTGTGCCCACAGGGAGAAGGACATCTCCCCATGCCTGTGTGGGAAGAGCAGAGGGAAGCACATGCTGGGTGCAGTTCCTCATCCTGGGGCTCACCTGGCCAGCAGAGTCCTCACAGTTCAGGTACACCACCAGCAGGGGGTCTTCCTGCAGGAAACACAAACCCACCACTGCAGAAACAGCCAACATGTGCAAACTCCTTCAAAGCAAATGACCCAGATTTATGCTTTGCTGAATCAGAAATGCTGATAGGCTTTATCTTGTTTTCAGGTGTACCTAACTTTTCCTTTCTTTCCTTGGTGCTGGGGTCTTGGGATGGAGTCAAACCGGCCCAACCTTCCAGCCTCTCTCCCTGCATCTCCTGTAAGATGCTGACAGAGCTAACCTGTCATTTTCTCCCAGTTCAGGTGAATTCAAACAGAGATTTCTTTTTAAATTGAATGAATCAGAAATGTTCCATGTGGCAAGTACAGTGTCACCTGCAGGGTGTTAACTCTGGATGCTGCTCTTGACTCAAATAAATGTGGGGGTTTACATTGAAAGGGAACTTAAGGATGCTTGTGGCTGTACACAGAGCACTGCAGTGAGGTAAAAGAATGTAGCAGCAACCTAAATGAACAGTGACCTTATATGCTGCCTTTCAGCTTCATACAAGGTCATAGAATCACAGAATGGTTTGGGTTGGAAAGGACCTTAAAGCTCATCCAGTCCTATTCCCTGCCATGGGCAGGGACACCTTCCACTATCCCAGGTGGCTCCAATCCCTGTCCAACCTGGCCTTGAACACTTCCAGGGATGGGGCAGCCACAGCTTCTCTGAGCAACCTGTGCCAGGGCCTCCCCACCCTCACAGGGAAAAACTTCTTCCCAATATCCCATCTAACCCTGCCCTCTGTCAGTGTGAAGCCATTCCCTCTCATCCTGTCACTCCAGGCCCTTCTCCAAAGCCCCTCTCCACCTTTCCTGTCCGTCCCTTCAGGCATTGACTCACCTCATAGTCCACCACCTTTGTGAGCAGCAGCTTATCCCCCTGGATGGTGAAGAACCTGCCGTCGGGGAACCGGGGGTCGATGCTGATGGTGAAGCCTGGCTCCACGTGGATGGTGGTCACCGTGTAGTTAACAGGGTTATTTTCAGGAACTTTCGGATTGCTGTTATCGACAGAACATCCTGGAAAGACACACAGATGAGATGGGAAGCTGCCTGGGGATTCCCACTGGGAAGGAGTCGGTGAGAGCCAAGACCTCTCTGGTCCCCCTAGGGTGAAGTCACTGAGGAAAGCAACCACCTCCCAGCCATATCCCACCGCTGCCTGGGGACACTCCCAGGGCCCACGGACCTCCTGCAGGAGCTTACCTTGCTGCTGTGCTGAAACCCCTGTCATGAGGGGCAGCAGGACGAGCACAGGTGTGAGGAGCCAGCGAGAAAAAGCCATGGGGAGCTGCCAGTCACTGAAGAATCCCTGTTCCCAGCTAAGCTGATCCTCTCTCCCCGTTTCTCCCGGTGCCGTCTCCTGCACTCCCGGCTTTGTGACGGTAGAAACAGCGACTGGACTGGATTGCTGAGCTTCAACCTTTGCCTCCTTGCCTCATTGGGTGAGTTGTTGAAAGATTTACCAGTCATGGAACATGATGACACGTACATTCCTATTTCTTCTTTTTTCCCTGGGTCTCTCCTATCCTGAACTCTTCATGGCAACAAGAATGTATTTGAAGCATTTCAGAACTCAGGGCCAAGCCCTCCCCCCTGAGATGAGCATGAAGGACAAGGGCTGGCACTTGGGAAGCTGCCTGTATTCTCCAGGTTCTCCCAGTGGGAAGGTTTCTAATGTGCCAGAGATGGGGTCTGTATCCCACAAGGTGAGCAGAGTAGATCCCGACAGGGACAAGGCTCGGCAGCCCAGGAATTGCCCAGCAACTCTGTAGGGAAAACACACCTCCTTCTACCAGTGGCCAGCAGTGGCTCCTTGTAGGGATGCCTCCCAGAATCCCCTTCCAGGGGACCTCTGCTCTCACTGATTCTTTTAAATTCCCAGCTGATTTCAGAAGGCTTTCATCTGCTGCACCTCAGCCAAGTGGCTGCTAGTGGCTCAATGGAATCCAGGCTGTCAACACTCCTTCTGAAAGTACTCCAAGAGGAATCTTTCCTAGCAGAGACTTCCTATGGACCAAAATAAACAACTGCCGAGGTTTGTTCAGCCCCTCAGTAAGGGAATGGTGCTTAGGTGAGCACTGGAGTGGGAAGGGCTCCTTTGCAGGTGTCAGGTACATTATAGATGGTGAAAAGTGCTGGAGCAGGATGGGCTGAGCAGGGTTGTGCTCGGCACAGGACTGCAGCTGAAGATCCTTATTTTAGAGCTGCTCTCCAGAATCTGTTGGTTTAACAGGAAAGCTGGAGTGGCTGTTTTATCAGAGGAGGGAATCTGCATGTCAACAGCATGTAAACCTCGTTAAGTGGTGGGAACAAATTCCTCCACTTGGAGCTCTGTTTTTAGTGGCTCTGAGAAAGCTGGGCCAGCAAATCCAGGGGCAGAATGGAGCGGAAACAACATTTACGGTGAGTATCTCTGTTGTGTAGCTCTCAGAACATTTCTTTGCCACAGAATCTAACACCTGGCTGAGTTCCTGCTCCGTGGATTCTGACTCTGTGCACAGCTGGATGGTGAGCATTCCAATGTGCCTGGTGTGAGGGGATCCCGGCACAGTGCTCCTCCCCAGACCCTGCATTCCAAGGGTAAGGTACCACCCTTCTTCCAGTTTCCCGAAGAGGAGCCAAGGCACAGGCATAGCTAATCAATCTTTATTTGGGAGCAGCAGCAGGCAGCCAGATGCCAACACACAATGGAAGGGATGTGCTTCACCCAGGCTCCATCTACTGACAGCAGGTCACACCCACACACATTTCACTTTGGGTAATCTAAGAGGTCTCATCAGGTTTTGGCTGCTTACCACGATTATTTTTATTTATTTGCCAATCTCAGGAGTTTTTCCTAAGCAAATTCAAGTGCTTCCCTGTTTATTTTCAAGGCCATACACATGCAAAGCTGTCTCCTTGGCTGTTTTTTTCCCTTCACCTTCAGGCAGAACCATCTGTATCTTCCTTCATGTCTGCAACCAGTGGCTTAGAGATGGGGCAAAAGTACCGGCTGGTGATGGCAGCAGCTTCCTGGGCATCTCTGTCTGAGAGGCTGCAGGGAGGGAAAAAGGAGAGAGAGTTTCTTATTCCTGGGGGCGTGGACTGCAGGAAGTGTGACAAAGCTGCCTTGTGAAATTCAAGGATAGAGGGACCATGACTGCCTGCAGCTGGGCACCCCACAAAGGCACAGCGGGGTTTCATCCCCACTGTGGTCAAGAGGTACCAAGGGCCAGTTTATTCCTCCTAATTTTAGGGATTTAAGAGTGAGATGTCTAAGTGAAAGTGGTTGGTCACTAGGAAAAGACAATATCCAGGTGCTAGGATCCTCAGGAGTGTGTTTGACAGGGTACCAAGGGTTTTCTTTCCATTTTAACTGTTAGGTTGGGTTTCCTAATGGGATGAATAATTACTGCAGTCCAGGATAACAACTCTATGATTAGAAAAAGATACTATTTCATTTCCATGGGTCTTATAATTTTTAATAACTGGCTTTTCTAGGGCCATTTATAAAAGCATTTGGCTTTATAAAAACTTTTGGCTCCAGTACTGTGGGGCTCAGGGCCACAGAGGGAACAAATCTGTCCCACCTACCTGGTGTTCAGAAAGCTCTGGTACAACCGGAGAAAGCAAAGCTCTGCAGGGCTGTTCTCTCCCTCTCTCTCCTGCACATCTGTGTTGACCGGGCCAGGAGAGCTGGAAATTAATAATAATTAAAATAATAATTAAGAATAATTAAAGCAAATTAATAGTAATTAAAACCTCCAAACCACAAGAGTGTAAGCACCACAGCTGGAGAGCAGCATGTGCCCCGTGTCTGCTGCTGTCGTGTCACAGGGGGCTGGTGGCCCAGTGTGGCAGTGAGAGCCACGGGGGACACGGTGGCTCCCAGAGGTTTCCCCTCACCTGCGCTTGCGGCCCATGAGGTTCTGGATGAATTTCTGCACCTGGGCGTTCCCTCTCATCTTGCTGTACTCGCTGGTGAACAGCCCATCCGAGTGCCTCTGGGACCTGGGCCAGGGGAACACAGACAGCGGCTGCTCAGCCCCTGGCAGCCCTCAGTGCTGGGATCCCTCTCCCTCTGGAGACTCCCTCGCCCCACAGGGTGGGTTTGGCCGGTGCTCACCTCTCCTTGAGGCCCACCAGGTGTTTGACCAGCTGCCTCACGTAGGCGTTGCCGTTCATCTTGCTGAGCTCACTGTGGAAGAGCCCGTCAGCGTGTCGCTCAATCCTGGGGGGAAGGAGAGGGAGGAGAGGCTTAAAACCAGACAAGAATGGGCATTAAACACTGCTCCCTCAAGGAAAGAGGGTCCCAAAAACACACAGGTAAGAATTTGTGCCACTTTGGCAAAGTTTCACCAAAAAAAGGGGAAAAATTAATGGGAGTCTAAAAAATATCTTTGTTAACCATCACACAGAAAAACGACCTGCGCTTGCTTTTAGTGATGTAATCACCTTGCCACAAGGATGTGAGAATGTGAGGTTAGTGCTGATTCAGCACAAAAGAGTAGGGCAAGAGGCTGGAGAAGTAATAAAGAAACACCCAGAGACAAAAACCTGAGGAACAGGTAGATAACGGCAGCGGTGACAAAGACCAGCCCTTGCCAGTGACTCCTTTGGTGAACTTGGTGAACTTACAGTGTTGGCTATTTCTGGCTATGTTTCCATGGGACCAGGCTATTGGAAACAAACTTCCACCTCTATCAGGCTGTGTAACTACGTAGCAGGAAAACAGACTCAAAAGCAACTTTTTAACTTACTTCGTTCTGTTTGGGGTCATGAATTTTCTCTTGCATTAAGTCAAATCAACATTCCCATTCTTAAGCAAGAAAAAAAATCTTTACAACATTTGCACTCATTTAACTAAATCAATGTAGGGAAGCCAAAATCCACAGCCAAGCAGATGCAAGTTCAGGAAGGCAGATAAAAGGCTGGGTTTACAACCAGCAGGCTCTTTGAACAAAAACCATGGGGAAAAAGGAGGCAGAGTCCCAAGGAATGCTCACCTCTCCCGGGATGGCAGAGATGCTGAGAAGTGGGACAGGACAATCATGGGAATAATGACTTGCCACAGAGTTGTCATCATGGAAACCATGTCCTCTCCTGAAATAAACCACAAGGTTCTGCGAGCAGCAGGACAAGTGCCCTTGGGGTGTGCCTGGTGCAGTTCACAGGGGCAGGGCTGTAGAAATACCACCATGGTCATTAAAGTGGGCAGGAATTCCTGCCAGCAGAGATAAATAGCTGGAGATGTCTGTGAAAAATATGTCATGTGCCAAATAAAATCCATCCACACACAGGGGAAGGGAAGGGCTCACGTGTGTGCCCATATCTCCCTATCCTCTAATCTTTCAAGAAGGAAAAAGAAATAACAAACATTTTCAGTCACTGCAGACCCCCCCTAGTTTGTTTTCTTACTGAAATAAAAAGAAAAGTACATTTTGTTTATCCCAAGCCACTGCATGCTTCCCCCTTTTATTCCAAGCTCTGCCCTCTGCCTGCAGAGGTGGGTATCTGCCTGTAAGAGGGTGCTCACCTTTCCCCAAGGACCACACAGGAGCCGTATCCACACACCTGCCTTCCTCCTGCAAAGAAACAAGCCTTTCTCACTGTCCTGCAGTCTCTCAGGCAGCACCTGCTAAAGCCCCAAATCAAAGTTCTCCCACTTGTTTTTACTTTATTCTGAAACTAGACAGTACAAAAGAATGTGAAAGGACTGTCAGAGACTCCTGAACACTTTCCAGCCACCCTCCTGGGACTGTTTGCTTGCTCTGGAGGTGCTGCAAGATGAGAAGAGGTAGGAGGAGGAAGGACAAGAAGGGGGATTTATCCAGGAATTCATTCAGTGTAAACCACAGCACAAATATTTAATGGTGGCTGCAGAGCAAACAGGTGAGAGGATGAAGGAGCCACAAGCTTCATCTCACATACACTTAGAGCTTTAATGTTGTGTTTTCCTGCCTGATTCAGCTTTGAGGAGATAGAATAGTAAAACAAGGACATTTCCAACATCAGTCTCTTATTGGAATCCAAACTAGGCAGACTCCACAGTCCTGCGGAGGAGCTGAGAAGCCACCAAACCCAGAGCTCAACACCCTTGGGGAAGGGGAACCTAGATCCTGAGCCTGTCCTTCCATCTGTCCAGCACCTGCCACACAATGCCTTGACCCCCAGAATCTCACCTCGGCATTTTGCCCTTCCTTGTGCTATCCCTGGGATGGCATTTCTCTGGGAGAACCATATTTAAGAGCCCATTTTAAATCCCATCCCTGGCTCCAGACTTTCCCTCCGCTCTAAAAACTTTCTGGTTGCTAATCCAGTGGATCAACTTGTCTTTTCTCTTTCTGGACATAACTTTTGTCTCAGAGATCTGAAAGAGGGGAGAAGCACAGCAGGACTCACCAACCCTGGTCGATCGTGGCTCGCCACTGATGCTCCACTGGCCCACTCCTCTGTGGTCCCCTATAAATGTGCTGCCCTTATCAGGAGCAATTATTTGGGTAAAGCTATGAATATGAGCAGTCATGATTAACAGCAAACAATGCTGTGGGGCTGGAATGCCCCTTTAATTACCTGATGGGGTCATTCACAGCAATTCGATGGACTATTTCTGCTGATGGATAATAATTCCTGCTTCTATCTCTAATGACAGTCGTTTGTTGGGCAAACATCCCTGTACCAATTGATTCACCGTGATTGTCATCATTATCTCCCAGCTTTAATTACCTCTTGATAGGAGCTTAATCTCCTGTTCTTCTCTTTTAATCCTGGCTTGGGCTATGTTTGCAATTGCCAGGATCTGTTGGTGAGTCCATGTGTGCCCCAGTGATTTGGCTGAATGACATGTCACTTTTATAGGGCAACTATTGCCTGCTCAGTAGGATCAGGGCTGACTTTTGCATGAGGGGACAACACCTTTTGAGCTGTGGTTTCACGTGGGAAAGGTGTGCTGAGAACAGACTTTTTCTAAAAAAGCAGCATACACAAACACACATGGAAAACATCCTGAATATATTCCCTGCCATTGCTGGGGGTTGGAGCTGGTTCGTCTCAAATGCTGCAGGTAAAGGTGACATGGAAATGGTGGTGGCACTTCAACCTGGGCTCCTGGGGTTGCCAAACATCCACAGCTGAGAAAACCCGTGGAGGAGCAAGGCAAGGAAGAAAGAAGGTTTATAAAGGCCGAACATGTAGGGAACTAAAAATGACTAATGTGATTTCCCTTCCTTTGCAAATAACCTCAATGGGTCTGAAATGCCCCCGAGCCCTGGGGAAGCTCAGTTTGCCATGAAAGGACAGAGGAGAGGTCGGAATGACGAAGTGGCCCCACGATGGCAGCAGAGGGTGAACAATAAGACTGTAAAAGCTTCTGGGGACTGGAAGAACATGCTCTAAGTAACTTGATTTAGCTATTTCGCACAAAAAATGGGGTTTGCTTCCAGCAGCACTGGTAGAGTGAAAAGGTGGTGGGGTAGAAAACTGTGTAGCCATGCCCAGCACTGCCGCAATTAATACAGGTGCCAACCATGGGCTCGAATTGAAATGCAGGTTTTGAGACTCTGATGAGGAAATTCAGGGCCATGAAGGGAACTCAAAAGCATTTGCAAGCTGAAATTTATACATGAATAAACCAGAACCCAAACCAAATCCCCAGTCCTGAAACAACATCTGATTTTCCTTAACCAGAATTAGCACCAAACGCTCATCAGGAGACATTCTGGAAACAGGAGTGATAAAGGATCCTGCTCAGCAATATCAACTGATCGGAGCTTTGGGAATCTGCACCTTATTGCTCCCATTCTCCATTAGAGAGAACGTTCCAAGTGGGAGTGGAGATTCCCCTCACCTGCATCCAGCAGGTACAAGGCAGGATTAAATCACTCATGTACCAATGGAATGTAACCCACCATCTCTGCAGTATCACTGCAGAGAAAAGCTCCTCAGCACTGGCTTTAGGAATGATACAGGGAATTGCTGGCCTCACCTGGTCCCTGCTCCTGCACCGCTGTCCCACCTGCAGCCTCAGGAAGTCAGGGCTGCACTGATCCCAGCCACCACCAGCCCATGGGACAAAACACTGCTCTATGGGGCTGGAGCAAAGTAAGGAGTGCTGAGTGTGCATCCACACTCCTTGGAGAGAGGGCAGGGAGAGATACTCCGGGACAGGATGGAGAAAGGACGTGTGATGGCCATGGGGCCACCTCTGAGCTGCCCTGGGGACACTGCCAGCTGTAAAGCCATCAGGATCTCTGTGCAGTCACCTGTGCTTAAGGTGACACCAACTGACATGCACAGGGTGTAGAGCCCTGTGGTGGCATGCATTAAGTAAATCCAGCTGCCACGGGTGCCAGGGCTATTCCCAGCACCACACTGATGGCTGGGGACACCCTGGTGAGCAGCAGAGAGCAGACATTATGAAACAGAGGGGCCACCCCCCTGCAACACCCAAGCTCTGGTTCCTGCTCCCAAGGTGACCTGTCCCAAAGGCATCCAAGCTGAGAGTGGAACTGAGGAAGGCCTTTGTCCTCCTCTTTACAGCAGAAGGGTTCACCAAACCTACAGCGTGAAACGCAGCATCTTAGGATCACATTAAATGTTTTAGTCCCAAATTTTGCAATATTTAAGAGAGTACCTTTTTCTGTGGTGGAGGTAAAGACAGAAAACTGCATTTTGGAAAAGAGAGGGTTTCATCACAAAGCTGCATATCCTGACCAACACCAGAGGGAGGATGCAGACAGACTCTCCAAAATCAGCACTTGGAGCTCTGCAGGGTAAGTCCAAGTTCTGAAAGGAAGAAATTCTCATTAACACTCCTAAGAAATTGGTACAGCAGATCAAAAAAGACCTTTGACTGGAGGAGCACTGTGGCTGCACTCATAAGAACAGGCTGGATAAATGTTGCTTTTGTAACGTGGACATCGTTGCTCCTGCCTTGGAGCAGGAAAGCCCATCCAGCCTTTGGGGTTGCTGTTTATCCAGGACAGCCCTTACAAGGTTTGTCCAATCCTTGCCAGCCTATCCACAGTCCAGGCCCCAGGATCTGCTGGAGCTGCTCTTCTTCATGGAGACACCACATCTCCAAATGCTCCTACAGCCTCTGCACAGCTCCCTGAGGTCTGTGGCTTTGGAATGGCAAAGAGCACAAGGGCCAAGCCAGGCTAAGGAGGCTGGGGAGGGACCATCTCATTCCCCACATGTCCAGCAGTGGTGTTCCCAGTCCTGAGGAAGCTGTCCAGGGGCAGCCAGCCTTTGAGGAGCCCAGCACAGGCTGTGCCCCATCCAGTGGCAGCCCCAGCCCATGGCAGGGGAAGTTTATTGAGGTCAGATGGTACGAGGAGCTGCACGGCTAAACCCTGCCTACGTAAAATACCCTTTAATCAGCTTAGGGGCTGTTCAGGAACTTCTACCTCCCCCATTCCCTTTTCCCTCCCTTGTCATACCTGTGCGAGGCCATGTGGGCATGGGGCTGTCTCTGTGTGTCTGCAGGTGAGCCCTGCCCAGGCCCTGAGCTGATGGTGACGCTGCTGCCAGCGGGGAGCAGCTTGGAGGCATTTCCTTGCATCACTCCCAGCTCTGTAAGAGAAAGGACCCTAATTGGAATAAGGGGATTGGAGGATTTAGCCTTCTAAATGCTCCTTTCTTGCACAGGATGCTTTCAGGAGTGGTTTTAATCTTTACCACCTGATTTTGTGATTTTGGCTGCAAGGGGGAAGAGCGGGATGCCAGCAAGGGGTGAGCAGGGCAGCTGTAGGTGGTTTGGGAGAAGGAAGAGGAAAATCACAGTCCTGTATGGTCATGGGACACACCTGGAGTGTGCCCACTTGCTCTGAAATACGGAGGGAAAGTGTTGGACACTCTGGTTACCTCCATGGCTGGCACCATCATCCCAGGCCAAGGACAGAAGACCAAAGAGCCTTTTAAGGACAAGCTGCTGCCCCCATCAATCACTTGCTGACCTCTACACCCTTTGGAACTCCCTCCCAACCTCCCTGAGCGCTGCCCAAGCGGGAGCACCCTGCCTGCCCCCAGGTAGTGTCCCCAGGGTGGCTGCACGGGTGGAACAACCCATCCCACTGCAGGGACACGGTGGGACAGGACTGGGTGGCTTCCTCCCAGGGCTGCTCCAGCCATCCTTGCCCTCCTGGCCCAGCATGCTCCCAGCCCAGCTGGCAGCTGCCCTGTCCCTGCACACAGAACTCCCCTGCGTGTTCTGGCCCTGTCATGGCTCCAAGTGGCATCAGCGGCGCAATCCCGGCCTCCAGCTGTTTGCTGTGCCTGGGGAAGAGGAGAAAGCACTTCAGGGAATTCATTGGAATGAGAAGAACGGCACCCAGCTGTGCCAGGTGTGCCGTGCCAGCACTGAGCACAGCAGCTCCTGGCAGAGCTGCTGCGGCTGCTTCGACTGCATTCCCCCCTGGGCTTTGCCAGGGACCTGCAAGGACGTCCAGGGGAGCAGGAAGGGGCTTTTTCTGAAAGGGCACCCCTTCCAGGGGAACAGGAACAGGCTTTGTCAAGGGGAGGGTGGAGGGAGCTGCATTAACAGGTGCTTGCTGCTCCCAGGCATGCCTCTCCCTGCCTGTGTTGCCTTTCCCTGCCTGTGTTGCCTTCCACTTCTCCCCCTGCCCAGGAGGTTTTCCCTGACAAGTGACTTAAATAAGCTCACTGACGTTTTAAAACCGGTAGGGGCTTTTGAACTATGTTATTTGATCTGTCTTGTGCCACAAACCCTCGTATCCCTTGTATATCACCAGGTTACTCTTGTGTGAGATCAGTGATGGGGTTAAGCGGAAACGTGGCACCCACAAAAACATCTAGTTTTGGCTCCAAGCAAAGATGGAAAATCCAGGCATTTTCTCCATAGTTTCATCCCCCCAGCTAACCACTGGCATTAGTTTTTACATCTTACAGGGACTTATCATAACTTATCAGAAAGGTAAATGTCAAAAGACCCACTCAGTGTGCACATAAATCCCTCCTTCTCGCAGGGGGACTGGCAGAGCCTGGGCAGCCCGGAGAGCCCAGAGAGCCCAGAGAGCCGTGCCATCCTCCTCCCTCTCCTGCAAAGCCTCACCTGAAGCAGGATGCTGCCCCTGCCTCTTTTCTGGGAAATGCATTACAGGAGATTGGAAAGCTGGGCGGCTTTGCTGCCGACAAGACTCTCACAGAGAATTGCCCTTGTCAATATGGCAAATCAAAGGAACACGATTGGCCTTAAGAGCTCTTTGTTTTCCTCCCTTTGTCCTGAACCTGTAGACAGCCGGGAATGCTGCTCCCGGCTATCAGGGCACTATTCATCAGCCGAGTTTGGCACATCTGTGCTGAAACTTTGGCAGCCACATTGTTCCCCTTTTCTATTTAAACATTCAGTGTCTCAGATGTGAGAAAATATGTTGATAAAAGTTCCATCTCTTTTTGGAGACTCTGACAGATGCCTCACTTCGCCACCTTCCTGATCCTTTGAACTGGCTGGGAATAAAATCCTCGATTAATTCATCCTGGGGAGTCTCTGGGGGACCCCTCTGGGCTCCCTGGCAGGGGACCAGCTCCACCACAGCCACAAACCACGCTGCTCATCTCCCTGAGCTTCTCTTACAAACAGTCCAAACCCCCAGACCAGGCAGATGTCTCACTCCTTTGTTGGTTGGGGTGTTTTCCTGGCACTGCCATTTTCCTGACACAAGGAGCAGCCGTGGTGGCTTCCCCAGCCCCTCCACCTCCTGCCCGGAGCCACTCCCTCACGGCGGGATGGGGAACCAGGACACCGCAGGATGTGCAGCCAAACAAAGAAGGGTTGTTACAAAGCACCAACCACACCAGAGCCTCTCCAAAGGTGCTCTAAGCATTCCCAGTCCTCACTTTGACATAATTTCTCCTGCTTTCCACAAGGGTGACCCACAAGGGTGACTCTGTCCTCTGCCTCTTGCTTTTCCTTGCAGTGACAACCTCTTCCAATATGTGGATGTGTGACAGACCTTCCTTCTCCTCTGCAAGGAGGGCAGCTCTGATCCAAGAAAGGAATTGTGTCTAATGTCTGCAGCCTGTCTGCCATGGAAGCACTGTGCTTTGCATGGCTGCTTGTTTTTGGAAGTCAAAAGCCTTATTTCACATTAGTTTAATCCATGCCAAGATTAAACTAGTCTAGGATTAAGGCCCTGTTAGTCTGGAATATGGGCTTCCATACTGAGAATCAAGAGTCATTCAGCACTAACCCACAGAAAAAATCAAGATAATGACAGTAAATTAACTGTTGAAGGGGATTAGATAAATGGCATTAATCCCTGTGGGAAGGCAGGGCAGCAGTCACACTTCGATCCTGCTCTCTTGGCTGCTCAGGTAGTTTAAACATAAATAAATTAACGGTATTCTGTCCACACAGTTTCATTAATGCACTTCAGGGCCTCCTTGGACTAATTTGAATTGATTTCTCAGAGTAAAAAGGGCTCTAACAAAAGTGGTTCTGCTGTCCGAGCTCCTTGCTGAGGGGAGGCTGTGCCAGGAGTCAAGTTTTAGGGACCAACCACGGATGGGAAAAGCTGTGACCAGGTGATGGAAACCATCTGCCTTGTCTGAACTTCCCAACAAATGAGGTCCCACAAACGAGCTCCTGACGTGATGGATGTGCAGCCACACTTGGGCCCACCTGAGTCCAAGACAAACCATTCCCGAAGGAATGCAGAGACAGGCACGTGAGTACCCACTCCAGTGCTGGCAGGAGTTCGGGGCCCACTCAGAGCAGATAGAAGTGTCTCTCCTCTCTCTGCACACTGGAAGAGGGAGATGAACAGACAAATCCATGGGTATTTGGGTCAGTGTGAGGATGGCAAACCTACATTGGGATGGGAGAGAGGGGTGATACAGCTCCGTAGCTACCAAGGAATGGCATTCTTGCGGCTTTAGAACAGGGCTGGAAGCCACACCTCTGGAGACAGAACTTGGCAAGCCAGACTGTCAGCAAAGTGCTTAAACCAAGGGGATTTTCTCCTCCTCCTGTATGGAATTGTGGAGCTGTGGCTGTTGGGTAGAACAGACTGTGTGGAGCAGCTGCTGTTAAGCCACTCCAAGGGAAGTACCTGGATCGGTGTCCCATGGCTGAAACCTGGGCTCTGGCCTTTCCATGCTGCACCTGCTGAGGGTAACCATGGCCTTTTCCAAAAAAGAGTAGGGAACTGGGGGGAACAAGGGTGGTGGCTGGAGATAGGATTTGCCCCACAGGTCTCAATAGTTTGGATGAAATTCTGAGAGCTGCAGCCTAAAAATATATCTTAGAAGCTCCTTGTCTTATAAAAAGTTTCCAGTAATACAATTTCCCCCCTCCATGGAGTGTAAATGGCCCTTTCTTGCTATACCTTCTCTTCCCAGTGCCTTCCACAAAGCCCAGGCTGATCTGAATGCTTTCCTGGCATTAACATCTGGGCTGAGGCTTGGTGGCACAGCTGGACAGATGCCCACAGAGTCTGGATCAGGTCCCACATCTCCCAAGCAATCTGGGCTAGAAATGAGGGGTCACAGCACCCCTGTCTTTCCTGCCTGACCCTGCAGGTACCCCTCAAACAGCATTTTTCTCTCATTTTCAGCAATAAAACACCCCAGCCCTTGTGTTCAGCTGTCACCATCCCTTTGCTCCCACACTTGCTGCCTGTCTGCTTTCTTCCTCAATCCTGCATTTCTGCAGTTGATTATTACTGCCCAAGCACAGGTAACGCACAAAATTCCTTTGGAGTTGCATCCTGCATTTGCCAGTTTCTCCGGCTTATCAACACCACTTTGAATCCTTACTCTGTGCTCCAAGATGCTCACAGGATCCTGTCTTGGCAGTAATTTAGCTATGGACTCTCTGGACCCTCACTCAGGTTAATTATAAACACCTAAACATTACCAGGTTCTGCACATACCTTGCCATACAATTTCCCAGTTATCTGCCCAACCTGTAATAATTTCAAGTGTTTCCTCTCACAGGAACTCACAGGAGAACTGCTTCAGAGAACACCACCCTGCGAGACCGCGGCGAGAGTTCACGGGGGCGCGGCAGGGGACGGGACACCGGGACACGGGGAGCCGGGACACCGGGAGCCTGCCCCCCTCCCCCGGCGCCCCCTAAGCCGCTTGGTGACCCAGTTGTCCCCGCGGGGCCGGGCCGGGCCGGGCGGGGCGGCGGCGGAGGCTCCTCCCGCGGCTCGGCGGGCACTCCCGGCGGCCGGCCCGGCTCCCCGGGCTGCGGGGGCAGCGCCGCGGGGCCATGGGCAACGGCACGGCCGGACCCCCGCCCGCCGCCGGCCACAGCATCGCCGCGCTGGTGCTCGGCATCCTCCTCATCCTCCTCATCGTCGGCGGCAACGGGCTGGTCTGTCTGAGCGTGTGCACCGAGCGGGCGCTCAAGACCACCACCAACTACTTCATCGTCAGCCTCGCCGTGGCCGACCTGCTGCTCGCCCTCCTCGTCCTGCCCCTCTACGTCTACTCCGAGGTGAGGCTGCCCGGGGGCCTCCGGGGGGACGGGGGGCTGTGGCTTGTGCGCCCGCGGAACCTGAAGGTTACGGGGCTGCGCGGTGGGATGGGCGAGAGCCCAGGCACCGCAGAGCAGAGCCGCTTTCTGGGCTTGTTCCCCACCTCCATCCCGCCGGACCGGGAGTGCCAGCGCCCTCGGGACAGCCCCTGCGCCCCGCGATGCTCGTGGGGCGTTCGGAGCACCGCGGCTCTTACCTGCGAGTGCCACCGGGGCCACGGGCGGGTCCCGGGGCTGCCCCGCCGTCCGAGCCGCAAACACACCGAGTGGAGGTGCCCCGGGACGTCTGCCCCGGGCCGGGCCAGCAGCTCCTGAGGCTGAGTGGTTCTCTCTGTAACAGGGAGATAAATGATTACTGCCAGGGATGTGTAAAGCCTTGTGCTTGTGGGGGATTTTGTTGGGTGGGTGAGGGGGCTCCCTGGAACCTGCCCGTTAGTACCAGCTGGGGGCTCTTCCCTGTTCAAGTGGATGAAAGCATCCACAGGGCAAAATACGAGGTGTTTCCACCCATCCCTGTGGTAGCTGGTGGTGTGGGCCTTTTTCCCAGTTGTGGGAGAACATCTCCCCTCTCTCCCACGCCATGCTGAGCATCCTCAGGCAAAGCAGGCTGCGGATTAGGGCTTAGGATGGTCTCTACCTGGTCCTAGGATTTTGCAGGACATTGTGACCTCTCTGGAAGAGGTATTATGGAGTGACAGGTTCATCAGGGGACCATGAGAAGAACCAGTGAAGAAGAGAAGCATTAGGTGCCCTCTTTTTCCACTGTGCCATTGGTTTCCGTGGATTTGCTTTTCCCTTGTTCCCTCCGTTTTGCTGGTTAGATAGGCACATTCTTCACCATTCTTCTCAGATACTTTTGTAGCTGAGGAGGCCTGGGGCACTCCCAGGCATCCACAGTAATTCCTGAGGAGCCAAGTTCCACCTATATGTGAAGGGAGGCCAGAAGAAGATACCAGAGTGTGCCCGGAGAGTTGGTAGCACTGAAACAGGGGTTACCTGAGGAAGCAGAGCTACAGGTGCTGTGGAGGTACCCAGGATATCACCAGGCTCTGGGTGGCTTTGGGAAGGAGCTGCACAGCCCCAAAGGCTTGGCCTGGTGTGTAACTGCTTCCTCTCTCTGCCCAAGGACTGTGACAATGGCAGGAGCCCCAAAGACTCTGTGACACTGGCAGGAGCCACAGCAGCAGTCGATACCATCCTCAGCAAGCGGAGGCATCCCAGCAATTAGGGCCAGTACCAGTACCACTTCCCCAGCTGGACTGTGCCATGGAGCACACCTGTACCTGTCCCTGTGCCTGTCCCTGTGCTTGCTGTGCTCCTCTGAGCAGCTCTCTCCTAATCCCCGAGTGCCGGAGCTGAGCCAGGCCTGAGCCAGGAAGCCTCTGGCAGGAGCTGAGGGTGCTGGTTATGTAAACATCTTTGCCACTAAGATCCGTGTAAGTGATTACGGAAAAGAGGAAACGGTTTTAGCAGATTTGCATGTTCACCTGGCTCCTTCTCCAGGTCAGGGAAGATGAGTGTTTCCCAGTGGGCACAGCAGTGGAGCAGCCAGGACAAATGACACGAGCCATTTTCCTGGTGAGGGCGATGCTGCTCTGCCTAAAACTTCCAGTGGTATGGCATCAAAAGATCTCTTTTCTTGCACTTTCTTATGTGTGCCTAATGATGCAGGTCTTCTGATGAGACACCAGACCTTTATCCTCTCCAAATTTCCCGTGGCTCTCTGTGAATGCATGTCAGCCTGTCTGCAGCAGGATTCAGGATTAGTCTTTCCTGGAATCTTAGAGCTTTAATGGAAATAGATGTTCTTCTGTACCTGGGTAATGTCTGAGCCACACAAAATACTGGGGAGGTGAGACAGGCCAGTAGTTATAAATCAGCGCTCAGGGGTTTATTTTCAGGCACCGATAACTGGGAGAGGTGTCCTGGAATTTCAGGCCCTCGTAATGTCTCAGGTGGATGATCAGACTTGCTCCTCATGTCTGAAAAACCTTGACCTCAACGATTTAAGTCAAGAAAGGACATTACAGCAGACATGAGGCACCTTTGTCTTGTGTCCTATTCCCTCCTCTCCCTCTCCCCTTGCAGGTTGGGTCGTGTCTTCTGGGGAATGCAGCAGCTGTCACAGCTCATGACAAAAGGCCCCGTGTCAGCGTCTGGGGGCACGGGGACAATTCTTTGGCTCTGATGCTGGACTATGCCCACTGGCAAGGATTATTCCTCTTCCAGTTGGTGCCACAGTGTTCTCAGTCCATGCCATGCCCTCGAGCCATGGCTGTGCTGAGGCAGAGGCTTGTTCAAAGTCCAGGTGGACATCTCCTAATTCCCTTTCGGGCTCCTGCTGTTCCCTGCATGTGGCAGGACTGAGACAAGAGCTGGTATCACAGGAAATACAACCAGAACCTTTGGCCCTGTGCTGGCTCACGGCCTCAGGAGCACTGGAGGTGTAAGAGCTCTTCTGGCATCAGTCCGGTTCGGAAGGCAGATTTTTCCTTACAAATCAGCTGAGCTTAGGAATATGGATACCAAAATGGGCCAACTAGGAAGGCAGCTGCAAGGGTGTTTGAGAAGCCAAGTCTGCCTCCTGCCATCCACCATCCTATAAAATCTTCTCCATAACTTCTTTGTATTCCAGAAAAGGGGAGAACCCCAAGAGCCACTGAAGGTGGAGCTGCTCTGGAGCACTTCCTAAAGGCAGTTTGTGCTGTGTGTGATCCCTAAAGCTTTACACTGTGTACCTGGATGGGCTAATCTGCTGCAGTCTCCTGTCATTATGTACCACTTAATCACATGGCCCAGCAAAGCCTCTAATCCAAAGTCACTCTCCCTTCTGAGGGGTCCTTGGCACATTTTGTAAGGTGGGCAGGTGACAAACACTGTGTAATGGAAAGTTCTCTCCCAGTACCTTCCCCAAAGCCAGAGTCTTGGGGGATTGGTGGAGAAAGAGAAGGGTTTGTAGCATTTTCCAGGTACCCAACTTGAATATCAGATCCTCTGAAGGTGCTGCAGCCTGAGAGCTCTTGTCCTTTTCAGAATCAATTAGTTCCCCCAAATCAAAAACAGGTTTGGAAAACTGTAGCTCAAAATCAAATTTTCTCTCTCATAAGCTGAACCGAACTTGTCAGGATCCCAGTAAGCTTGGCAAAAATTTGGTTTTTGATGATTCAGGTTCCAAATTCAGTTTGGGGTGGCTGCACTGTGCTAGAGAAGAGGCTGAATGAAGCATTCAGGTCTCACTCCAGCCCTCCCCTGGAGGTATCTCAAGGAGATGCTGTACAAAAATAGCCAGACAGTTACTTCAGAGTCTCCTTTGGCTTTACAGCTCCTCTAATCGTAATCCTGGGCCTGACATCACCACTGCCTGGTATTAATCCCTGCAGAGCTGCCTGCCCTGCTCCTGGCAGGGGCAGGGGTTTTGGCACCTTCCCATTGTTCCGTGGAGTGTGTTCCCCACATGGCTCTGCTCTGTGCTGGGATGAATGAAACCAGAACCTGCTGTTTAGCACCTGCACAGGAGCAAATCCATACCTGCTTCCTGAACTCTGCACAAGGGCAGCAACGCTACACCCCACGAGCACTGCCTGACTGTTGCTACAGAGGAATAAATCCCTGGGATTTATATGTATAGATATAAAAATTATTGTTATGTGGTGCATTTCCTATAGATAAAAATATATTGTAAATTATACACATTAGATGATGCACATTACTTATAGGTAAACATATGTAGTAAATTAAATATATTACATATAGCAATATATACTATAGTAATATTTATCATTTATGTTCTAATAAGAGCATATAGAGAGTATTTGATAGTTTGCATGACAAGGGGCCATTGCTACTGAACACTTTGTTTCCAAGCTAAAATCACACTTATTTGTACAGTGTGTTTGGCTCTTAACTGAACCTCTCCCTGCAGAGGGACCCAAAGGATGGTGGAGTTTTCCTGCCAGGCACAAACCGGGAGGAAAATTCCCTGCTGCTCTAGTGGGAACAGCCCATGGAGCCTCCTGGTTACCTGTGCAGGTGTGAGCACACAGACAGGACTCTGCCTGCGCGGAAGGAGCTCACTGGAATAATGGCACAGGAACGGGATTGAGGGGCTGTGTTTCTATATCACCTAAAAAGTGCTTTAATGCTAAACCAACAGGCTGGGTTTGTACCTGGGTGAGATGAGCGCTCCATGAAACAAATTGCTGCAAGTAGTCTCTGGCTGTACCAGCATCAGCCATTGCTGTCCTGCTGCCTGTCCTGCTGCCTGTCCTCTGCCACGGGCTGTGCAGAGCTGTGCCCCTGGCCAAGATGACCAAGCTGAAAATCACAAAGCATGGCAGTCAACACTTCCAGTCGTTTGGAGCAGTGACAACACTGGTCACTGCTGCTCTGCCCTGGCACTGGGACTGTGCAGGGAGAGCCAGAGATTCTATCTCACTGCCTGACCCTGGTCTCCATGGGCTGGAGTTGTGCTTTGCCTGCCAGGACAGAACAGTTGTGTTAACAAAGGGAAACTGTTTGCATTGTCTGCAAACAAGACATTGGAGCAGTGGGGACCTGAAAGTGGAAGAAGAACTTTGTGCTCTGCCACTTGCTGCCTCAGGGACCGAGCCAGTGATGCTGTGCAGCGACTGTGGTGCTGGGGAGGCTCTGGGGGTGTGAGGAGGGTGGGGGCTCCTGCACTCACCCAAGGCAGTGGGGGCCATCCTGTGTCCATTGCTTTGCCCAGCACAACTCACCTGGCCGTGCTGACGCTCTGTGGGCTCAGTTCTCCAGCCAGCCCTGGGCAGACTGTGAGCTCCTGCACGGGGCTGACTCCTGTGTGCCACTGCTGTGCCACTGCTGTGCTGGGAGCATCGTGCCATGGGAGGAGCGCTCGGCCTTGGGCTGCTTGTCTGGAGGAACTGGGAGTGGCTGAGGCGGCCAGGCACGGAGGTGTTCTCTGTCACTTTAAAGGCATCTGCTGACCCCAGGATCTTTCCAGTTCCAGGGAGGTGTGTGGTCCCTGAGCACGGTGCTGTGTGATGCCCTGATGACCATGGACGTGATGCTGTGCACGGCGTCCATCTTCAACCTGTGTGCAATCAGCGTGGACCGGTGAGTGCCTGCCTGCTCTGGCTGTGCCTGGGCATCACACTGCTTCCATACACCCTTGCTGGGCTCCCACGGAGGGAGGATCCTGCCCTCCCCTAAGTGGGGGTGCTCTGCCCTACCATCCTCCATCCCAAGCTTTGTGTCCCATCAGGGGTGGCCACACTGAAAGCGCCGCTGTGTGAGGAAGCAGAGCTGCCCCTCGGGTGCTCTGGTTGTAGCCCATGCCTTGGCTATGTAAAGTAAATGCCTGGGGGGGAAGGACAGGGACAAGGAGCTCTGGGGCTTCTCGGTCCCCTCCCTGGCAGTGACGCCCCCAGGCCAGGCCTGGCTCACCCGGGGCTCTGTTGGCAGGTTCATCGCCGTTCAAGTCCCGCTCAACTACAACCGGCGACAGATCGACCTGCGGCAGCTGATCCTGATATCCACCACCTGGATATTCGCCTTTGCTGTAGCATCTCCTGTCATATTTGGCCTCAACAACGTCCCAAACCGGGACCCCAGCCTGTGCCAGCTGGAGGATGACAACTACATCGTGTACTCCTCCATCTGCTCCTTCTTCATCCCGTGCCCCGTCATGCTGGTGCTGTACTGCGGCATGTTCCAAGGACTCAAGCGCTGGGAAGAGGCCAGGAAGGCCAAGCTGAGGGGCTGCATCTATGGGGCCAACATGAAGCTGTACCACCCCCCGACCTTCCTGGAGAGGGAGCAGAGCCGGCTGGGGCCGCCGGAGTGCAGCCCCTACAGCCTCACTGGCCTCCCTGGGGACTGTGGGATGAGCAATGGGATCCAGACTGTGTCCTACCCACACCTCAGGTATCCACACCCGGGGCACGGGCGGAAGCGGGCCAAGATCAATGGCCGGGAACGCAAGGCCATGCGGGTGCTGCCGGTCGTCGTCGGTGAGTATCCGCAGGGAAGGGCTGGGCAGGGCGGGAAACGTGCAGGGACCTGTGTGGATCCGGGGTGCCAGAGCAGTGCCAACAACTACCACCCCTGGGAGAGAACGCATGTAGTTGATAACCATGTTTCCTTCAAGGCAAACCTGTGACTCCCAGTATCTCACATTCAAAGCCAAAGTGAGACTAACTTTAGACTTTTCATCAATATTTGTGACAGGAAAGACATCCCAATTTTTCGTCTGGGTGTAGGCCCAGCTCCACATGTCAGCACAGCTGCTGCCTGTTCCCTGGCCACTCTGAGCTGCCTCTGTCTTGTTTGGCCTGAGCCTTGTTAAACTAAAGCCTTTTGAATGTTCCCATCACCTTCTCTCTTTACTGCCCTGGCAGGTGCTTTCCTCTTCTGCTGGACACCTTTTTTTGTGGTGCACATTACCAGGGCTCTCTGCAAGTCCTGTGCCATCCCCACTCAAGTCACCAGCACTGTCACTTGGCTGGGCTATGTCAACAGTGCTCTCAACCCCATCATTTACACCGTGTTCAACGCTGAGTTCAGGAACTTCTTCCGCAAAGTCTTGCACCTCTTCTGCTAAGCCCTCTGGGACTGGTGAGGAGGAGGAACCTCCAGGGAGCAGGAACCACCAGGTGATTTTTTGTATAGTTCATTAAAGATCTATTTCTGTCCCTGGCCTGCTGTCTTTGTTGGGGACGAGGGGAGGAGGAGGAGGAGGAGAAGGAAGGTGGCCCAAGGAAGCTGCTCCCCAGCTCCTTGCAGTAAGGTGTCAAAGGTGAGTACCACTGAATGCAGTTCAGATCCTCTTCCCACTGGAAACTGCAGGTTTCCAGGCTCTTTCTTCACATTTGATGTAAGCAGGGATAATAATAATTTCTAGTCTTCTGGGGTGGCATGACACAGGGCTGTGAGGTGACATCTACCTGTGCAACCTCCTTTCCCCTTGCTCTTGATAATTTTAAATCCAAAGCCTGATTTCACTCATGTTTAACAAGGGTCCTACAAAGGCACCGTTGCTAGTGCTCCAGAATTCCTTATCAAGCCATAGGATTCCTGCCAGGAACCATTTCCAGCCACAGGAAAGAAATCTTTCCTGCCTTTAGGTGAACCTGGGCTGGCAACAGCCAGTGGGACCAGGCAACACTTGTCACTGAGGTTCAGAGGGGAGAAAAGGAATATTGCACAAATTACAATCTTCCAAGTCATGATTTTGTACAGGATTGTTGCTTTCCAGGGGGGAAATTTGCTTGGAAACTAAACAGAAAAGAGTACTGCAGGGAGGTCTTGAGTGTTCCTTTGACTAAGAATAGCAATTGCTCAATGAATTTCTCCTCAGCAAACAGACAGACTCAATTCCCATGTGATTATCCTGTGCCTTTCTGAGCTCTGTCACTGCCTGGTTGGGGTGCAGCTGCCCCAGGTACCAGGGCCCAGAGGAAAGCTCCCCGAGAGTTTTAATGGCAGCTGAGTCACACCTACAGTCCTACAATTTAGAGAAGTTGCCCCACTTTCTTCCAAATTTTTTCCCCTTACAAGGTGCAGTAAAGCCAAAATTCCAACAGTGACCAAGGCTTGACTATACCTGGCCACAAGCTATTGGATAAGGACAGTGGGTTGGATAAGGACAGCCACTGGATAAGGACAGTGGAGACTCTGTTGCTGCCTCATGCCCCTCCCAAGCCCATTCCTGGTGTCCCAGCTCACCCGTCCATGGAGCTGCCTTGTCCTCAATCCAGGAGGAGCTCTCTGCTCACACCGGCCGTGCTGGACAGGGATGTGAAGCAACAAGAATAGTTTGCAACCAAAAGCCTTGTTTGATACTGGAAGTGCAGCTTTAGCACTCCAGAGGTGTCACTTTGGAGATGCCTTTGCTGCGTCCGACTGCGGGACACAAGAAACCCTAGGAATGAGCTGTGTTAGCACGGGCTCAATTAAGACTGTCTTCTCAATTAACTAATTGTCTCCACGCTCTGGAAAACAGGAAATCGGCATTTTACTGTGAGCAGAAACCATCACCAGTCCTTGAGTATTACTCTGGGAAGGAGGAGTGGGCATTTTGCTGTGGGAATGGAAGGAGTTGCCTGTTCTTTCCTTCCCAGGAGTATCACAGGTAATTTCTGTTCCCATCCTGCCTCAGTTCCTGCTTGGCTTTCCATGGATTTGTCAGAGACTTCCAGTCTAAGACTTAAGTCTTTTCCACTGCGTTTTTCTCTCTTATTAACTTTCCTGTAGCTCTGGATAGAATGTTCTCCTTTTGACAGTGTGTGTGTGGTGCTGGGTTGGGTCACTCCGTGGTTCAGCTGACCTTTCCTGGAGCAGCAGCTGAACAACCATCCTCATCCACCAGCACAAAACCAGAGCGAACAACAGCCAGGACAAGTGACACTCACGGGGGCTGTGACCCCTCATAGGAATTGTGACTCCCCAACTGAACAACCAGCCAGGACAAGTGACCCCTCACAGGGGCTATGCCTGAAGCTAAAAACGAACCCAAACCACCAACCAGAGGTTTGTGCGCCTGCCAAGTGTCCTCCAAAATCTCCAACCACAATAGCTTAATTATTAAAGAAGTACATTAATAATTAGAATGATTTTGTTGCAGTGAACAAAGCAAATAACTCTCTAATGGTCACATCTCTAATCAGCAGCTCCTGCGGGGCAGGGACAGGACAGCCCCATATCCACATGCACTCACCTCGGGCTTGATCCGATCTGATTCTGGCCAGGTGGATGCTACGAGCAACATTCCAGGCACATCGTGGGATGAGGCTGTGCTTCCCTGCGGAGCAAACACCTCCCAGGTAGACGGGGGAACATGGATACACATGTACCTGCCACCACACCCACCTGTGCAGGTACCTGCCCCCTCAAGTGCTGCCCTGGGGATTAAAGGGAACCGCTGGGCTCGCTCGTGCTTTCACCGCATTTTATTGAACAACATGTTATTTTTCAATGGTATTTAAATGCAGAAGCTCCAACGTGTTCCAAATTTGCCTAGCACAGAGGGAACACAGGAAAAACAAAAATCCTTCCAAAGCCAAACTAAGAACTTGTACCGACTCTGTCAAGGCAATTAAATAAGCCAAAGGTTCATTTCTCTTCTCAAACAAGAGGTAGGGAGGCCCTGGGAGGAGGAAACACTGGCACATCTCCTTGGAGCACCTGCTTTAGATTAATCTCAAGAGAGATGAGGAGATTGCTGTAATCCACATGGTGGAGGATCCAGTCAGGCAAAGGCAAAGCCTCCCGAAGCCAAAGGGGGATCCCAGTGTGCGTGTGGGGGGCATTCCAGATGAGGTTTTCACAGTCTCTGTATTATCCAAAGTTATGAAAGGGTCTCAGGAGTAGACAAACGCTGTCACAGTATCAAAAAGCCAATCAAAAATGATTCTGCTAGAGAGAACAGTGCCGTTGGCACAGGACAGACCGTTCCGCCGGGTCCCGATCCAGCCGGCCCCGCGTGCCCGGGAACGGCTGCGGAGGTAGTTTGCTCACACGGTGACCTTCTCCATGACACTGTCCGTGACGTGCACCTCGTCACCCTGCACCGTCACCGTGGCCGACTGGCCGCAGATGTGCTGGTGGTCCTTCCAGTCCTGCGAGGGGAGAGCAGAGGGCGAGGCCATGAAGGGAACAGGCCTTTGGAAAAGCCACTGTGGGGGAAGCACTTTCTCCAGCACAGGTGGGAGCAGCAGGTCTCCGATGCCCCACAAACCAGACCAATGACTGAGGGGAAAGGAGCCACACACTGGGTCAATATTAGAGGTGGAATTGGACTAAGCGGAATGTTACTTTGATTTTTTGGATCACCTTTGGGAAGGTGCGTGCAAACCCTGGGACGTTCCCTACCCTTTTAACCCTGTCCCGACTTGCAGACCTGCCCCATGACTACAGCCTTGCTGGTGATTCCACTGGCAGGGGGTTTGGAATGCTTGACCCACACAGGATTCTGTGCTGGCTGCCTGGCTCTGCTCCATCAGGTGACTCTCCCTAGGGTCCCACAGCCCTCTCCAAGGAACTGGATCCCGACTCCCAAACATGCCATACCTTCCGCTGGCAGAACGTGGAGCAGTAGTTGACTTTGTGGCACCCCGTGCACTCGTTGGTGGCCTCCCGCCCGCAGTTGACACAGGATTGCTGTGGGAAGGGACAGAGAGTGACCGTGTCACACGGAGCCACCCCAGCGAGGTCACCGAGGGGCTGTGACCTGCTGGAACGTGGGAGCAGTGGGAAAGCCCCTGCTTCCCAAAATACACTCAGCACACCAACGCAAAACAGGCCCAGTGGCTTGTGGATATGCCCTCAGAGACCTGCTCTCCTGCTGCTGTAGCAGGGATCACTTTGGAAAACGGAATGCACCTATGTTTTCCTTTCTATCGGGCAGGAAGCCCTTCAAAACCATGGGTGGGACACTGAGTAGTCATGGAAATCCATCCCCACCACCCCAGGGATACCTCCCTCCATAGCGGTCAGGTAGCTGCAGGCTTCAGCAAGAGTCAGGTGTATCCCAAG